ACACACCTGTGTGTGTGTGTGTGTGTGTGTGTGTGTATGTGTGTGTGTGTGTGTGTGTGAGTGTGTGTGTTAATGTGTTTGTGCATGTGTGAGTGTGTGTGTGTGTGTGTTTGTGTGTGTGTGTGTGTGTGTGTGAGTGTGTGTGTTAATGTGTGTGTGTGTGTGTGTGTGTGTGTGAGTGAGTGAGTGTTTTCACACATGCCACTGTCACAGACAGGAGACGAAGGCCACAGGTTGCTAAGCAACACTCAATGTGATAGAAAGCAGGACAGAGTGTGAGAAGTTGATCTTCAGATCAAGCGACATGCACACAAACACATTCAGATATTGATATGAGGACAGAAGATCATGCATGATGCAGGACTGGTGTGATCTCTGTATCTGACCAGTGTTTATTTCAGCTCAAACTGAAGCAGCTTTAGAACAGAGTTTGAGCTCTCAGCAGAACACAAGACTCTCAGAACTCAAGAGCGAATCTGATTTACCAACTTTCCCTTATATTCTTTCAAACTGAAGTCTTTCTGAGATCTCCTCAGTTAAATCCACACATCAGTAACTTACTGTATGCAGTTGCATGTCTATTTTTTACACGTTTTACATGTAAAGTCACCATTTGCCAGTTTAGCAGACGTCACAAACATTCCATGTCTTATGTGTTTATGAAATATTCATGTACGTCTGACAGATTTTGATAACTGAATGGATCGTGTTGCACAATTTTACTGAAAACCAACTCAATCAGCCAGCCACCTTTTTGTACATTTAGTTACAAAAATTGCAGATAATTGTAGTCAATCCTTTGCAATTTGCCTAAAATAATAATTCAGATCTGGTGTGATCTAGAAACTCTGTTCAGAGATGTGAACTCAGCTACTATCCAGCAAAAAAATATACATTTTGAAATATATTGCAAAATAAACAAAAAAGGCCAAAAAATGTACGTATTTACTAAAACACTTTTTTTTTTTTAAGAAAAACATGAACATATAACACATATATAGAATAGACTGCAAATGTATTTTCTTACCACGGATATACTTCAGTAAATGAAACTTAAAACTAAATATACTTTCAATTGAGGTTTACTGTTTATGACATTATTTAGTACATATTTAAAATATATTTTAGACAAATATATATATTGCTGAAGAGAGTTGAGCCAACACAACAATTAAGAGAAACTGTAAAGTTAAGGTGAGTTTTGCTAAATCACACCACTTTTCTGACAGCTAGCTCAATACCAGAGATTGCTCATGATGCATTATTCTAGAGTCATAAAGATCTTCAGAGGCGCTCTGATATCATGCTGAACTCTCTGAGAGCTGCGTCTGTGCTGATCCGGAGATGATGAGACAATAGCGAGGAGATCTGCTGCCATCACACTGAATAATTAGTGCTTGTGGAAGGAAACTGCCAATCATCGCTGAAAGACATTACATTGTTACACCATTACAAACAACAGCGGCCTTCACTCACACACAACCCGTCTGTCCTGTACACATATGCAGATCTATGACATGCATGATGTCTTTAAAGGGGTCATCGGATGCCCATCTTCCACAAGTTGATATGATTCTTTAGGGTCTTAATGAAAAGTCTATAACATAGTTTGGTTAAAATTTCCCAATGGTAGTGTAAAACCACCTTTTTTACCCTGTCAAAACCAGCTCTTTTCAGATCAAGCCGTTTCTGTAGCATTTAGCTGTGCTGAAACGCTACTGTCAATCAAACTATGGTGGGAGGGGCCTGTCTCTGTGACGTCACACACACAGGCATCTGAGATCGGCTCGATTTGAGAAAGGGGAAAACATTTAACCAGATTTAAAATCTGTGTGGATATTTATCATTATAGGGTGGTTGTGTACACACACTGCCAACACACATTTCAGTTCAAACAACTTGTGAAAGTGCATGTAGCATCCTATGACCCCTTTAAATATGTGAGGCTTTGAGAGTTTCCTTATCTGTGTCAGACTGGACAGAGGCAAACATTATTTTCATCATGCATTTGAACAGTCACATAAATTAAAGTTATCATTGTTGTTGCTGCAATGCCAAAATGAATCATCATGCGCCAAATAAAAAGTTTTTCGAGCATGACTCAATGTTAATGAATTCTAATGACAGCGCATCAGCATGGCTTAATTAAATGATCAAATATGTTATAATACACTTTAATGTAATCACTCTAGTCATTAATTATATAAATGCATAGTCTATCGTGGTTTACAGTAATGGGGGTCACTTATCCACCTTACTTTGCAAAGCGGAAATAAAGCTATTTTCTGTGAATGTGCGCGCGACTTCCGGTTCATTAGTAAATAATTAAAAATAACAAAGTGCAGTAAATGATAAAACTGTTTGCGCCGCAAACCAATGTGTTTATGATTACGTCAATATTTTAAAATAACATTGTAAAATAAAATAGCGCGCAAAAATAACGTGAAATAATGAAAACGCTATTCCGGCAAAATAAAAGTACAACCTAATGTGATTTTAATGAAACTGTTAGCCTATTATTAACAGACTCAATTTTCTTATTTCACTGTACCATATTATTATTATTATTATAGTACTATATTTCTTTAATGATTAGTTTAATGCGATGATAATAATAATAATCATTGTAATTTGTTATCTAATTTTGGTTACATTTTGGTATACATTTAATAATATTAATTAACTACATGTACTTATGGTTAGGGTTTGGCTTGGGGTTACAAGTAATTATGCATAATTAATTGTTATTATAATAGTAAGCACATGTAACAAGGACACCTTAAAAAAATAAAGTTGCCAGCAGCAGTGAATCGCAGGTGTGACGAAACTTCAGTGTGTGATCTGATTGGCTGCTGGATTTCATTGGCCCCGCCCACCGCCGCGTGCGCTTCCGCTGGACCCGCTCATAATCTCCCGCGCTCAGACGACGCGCCGCACAAACGCGTAACGAACGCATCGACAGGATCGATATATCGATATATCAGGACAGTGAGCGGATCGATCAGAGGAATAAAACGAACGGCTGGCCGCGGATTTAGTTCAAGCGTTTCTGCGAGAGTTCAACAGGTTAGTAATCAATGTTTTCAATCTCAGTCAGAAACTCGAGTCGCTTCGTTCTGTTTGTTTGATATGGATTCTATTAATTTGGTTCTCTGTTGTGTGTTTTGGTTCTGTCGCTGCAGCTGTGAATAATCTGATTGAGATAATGTACAGTACAGTACAGTAGTGTGTTATGTAATGTATATGAATCAGGTTTGACTCGAGGGAAACTTTATATGAACTGATTGTCAAAGATTCACTTCTGATCAGACTTGATCATGTTTTATTTATTTGCCGTTTTAGATCACACTGTGTAACATGGAGCCTCTTTTACCTGGATTCAGAAACACACTAAAGGTGAGGTGTGTGTGTGTCGATTAGATCAGGGCGGGTCTGTGCTGCGCTCTGATTGGTTGAGCTCCGCGCTGCTGTAGAGTCATTGGAGGTCAGCTGAGGTTCGCCCACGCTGGCACGGAACAGGAAGACCATATATGGTAGTGCGCTCCCATTGGTGGAGCAGATAAGCGCTTGAGCGATGATGTCATGCGTGGGGCGTGTCCTCTGGTTTTCCTGCCTGTGCTCAATCAGCAGTTTCATCACTCACTGTCTGAAGTTTATAAGTGTAATTATGGAGTGTAATATGTTGTGTTTGATTTGTCTCAGCGTCAGGCGGCGTTCGAGATGTTCGAAGACCCCATGTCTCTGTTCTCGGGCTTCTGTCCGGTTGAGGAGGAGCAGGCTGCTCAGGAGGTCCCGTCCGGTCTGGACTGTGTCTCTCAGGGTAAAGCAAACCAGCAGAACCACGGTTTATCACAACAGTTCTGGAGCGAGAACATTTTGGATGCTTTTCAATTTGAGACCATTTTTCCGCTGGGCATTAGGGGTCAAACATTTTTGGGGTACAAAAACTATTGCAATATATTTTTAGCTATTTAGTTTTTATTGCATCATTAAAATAAGTGAAATTATGCATTGATTTAAAATATGCATTGATATTAATATATATTTATATTTATTAATCATAAATATTTGGATTTATTATTCTAATCTCTATTTAAAATATGCATTGATATTAATATATATTTATATTTATTAATCATAAAAATTCAGATTTATTATTCTAACCTCTATTTAAAATAGGCATTGATATTAAATAATATTAATATTTTTTTAATAATAAAAATATAGACTTGTTCTAACGTTTATTTAAAATAGGCATTGATATGAATTAATATTTATATTTATTTATAATAATAATTCAGGCTTATTATAACCTTTATTTAAAATATGCATTGATATTAATATATTTATTAATCATAAAAATTCAGATTTATCATTCTAACCTCCTATTTAAAATATGCATTGGTATGAATAAATATTAATATTTATTAATCATAAAAATTCAGATTTATTATTCTAACCTCTATGTAAAATAGGCATTGATATTAATATTCATATTTGTGAATAATGAAAATTCAGACGTATTATAACCTTGATTTAAAATATGCATTGATGTGAATATTTATTACCAAATTTAAATGGTAAAATAGTGAAATTTTGATGTTTTTATGGCTGTATTAGTGGGAAAATCTATGAATTGTTGTGGATTCAAAACTTTGATTTACTCTTCCAAAAAGCAGTGAAGTTTTTCAACTCTAAATGCCCAGTGTTGCATGTTTGCCAATTAAACCCTGATGCAAATGTGTCATGCACTCTTGAGCGTGTGTACGCTGACACAGATCTCTGTGGTCTGCAGATGCCGGCGTGTGCTCGGTTCCTCTGCTGACGCCCTGCAGTAAAGCTGTGGTCAGTCAGGCGCTGAAGGACAGCTTTAACGGCTTCTCCAAGGTGCAGCGCGTCTGCGGGATCTCCAACAGTGAGTCTCTCGTGATCTCTGCTGTCTGTTTTGAGGACGGATGTGTTCGTGACGCTCTCTCTGTCTGCAGACCCGTGTAAGTGGACCAAGCAGCACGTCCTGCAGTGGCTGTACTGGGCCTCCGGAGAGTTCAGTCTGACCAACATCAGCTTCTTCAAGTTTGACATGAGCGGACAGGAGCTGTGCGACCTGGGAAAGGACGGATTCCTGGATCTGGCTCCGGATTTCGTGGGCGATATCCTGTGGGAGCATCTGGAGCAGATGACGAGAGGTAACAGAGGATTCCGGTCCCAGACTTTCATTAGTGATTGTAATGCTCGAGCTCACGTTTGATTCGATGTGCTTTTCTCCCGCAGCCTGTCATGAGGATGACGAGGCCAAAGTCTTGAGTCGCTCGTCTGAGTGCAGCTGGACCAGCAGCAGCTCCGGCAGTAAGTCTGCACTTCACTGGAGCGTTTGCACGCACTGATTTCTGGGTTGAATCCGATTCACATCTTCGTTTGCACGCACTGATTTCTGGATTGAATCCGATTCGCCTCTTCGTTTGCACGCACTGATTCTGGATTGAATCCGATTCGCCTCTTCGTTTGCACGCACTGATTTCTGGATTCAATCCGATTCACCTCTTCGTTTGCACGCACTGATTTCTGGATTCAATCCGATTCACCTCTTCGTTTGCACGCACTGATTTCTGGATTCAATCCGATTCACCTCTTCGTTTGCACGCACTGATTTCTGGATTCAATCCGATTCACCTCTTCGTTTGCACGCACTGATTTCTGGATTCAATCCGATTCACCTCTTCGTTTGCACGCACTGATTTCTGGATTCAATCCGATTCACCTCTTCGTTTGCACGCACTGATTTCTGGATTCAATCCGATTCACCTCTTCGTTTGCACGCACTGATTTCTGGATTCAATCCGATTCACCTCTTCGTTTGCACGCACTGATTTCTGGATTCAATCCGATTCACCTCTTCGTTTGCACGCACTGATTTCTGGATTCAATCCGATTCACCTCTTCGTTTGCACGCACTGATTTCTGGATTCAATCCGATTCACCTCTTCGTTTGCACGCACTGATTTCTGGATTCAATCCGATTCACCTCTTCGTTTGCACGCACTGATTTCTGGATTCAATCCGATTCACCTCTTCGTTTGCACGCACTGATTTCTGGATTCAATCCGATTCACCTCTTCGTTTGCACGCACTGATTTCTGGATTCAATCCGATTCACCTCTTCGTTTGCACGCACTGATTTCTGGATTCAATCCGATTCACCTCTTCGTTTGCACGCACTGATTTCTGGATTCAATCCGATTCACCTCTTCGTTTGCACGCACTGATTTCTGGATTCAATCCGATTCACCTCTTCGTTTGCACGCACTGATTTCTGGATTCAATCCGATTCACCTCTTCGTTTGCACGCACTGATTTCTGGATTCAATCCGATTCACCTCTTCGTTTGCACGCACTGATTTCTGGATTCAATCCGATTCACCTCTTCGTTTGCACGCACTGATTTCTGGATTCAATCCGATTCACCTCTTCGTTTGCACGCACTGATTTCTGGATTCAATCCGATTCACCTCTTCGTTTGCACGCACTGATTTCTGGATTCAATCCGATTCACCTCTTCGATTCACGTCTTCGTTTGCACGCACTGATTTCTGGATTCAATCCGATTCACCTCTTCGATTCACGTCTTCGTTTGCACGCACTGATTTCTGGATTCAATCCGATTCACCTCTTCGTTTGCACGCACTGATTTCTGGATTCAATCCGATTCACCTCTTCGTTTGCACGCACTGATTTCTGGATTCAATCCGATTCACCTCTTCGTTTGCACGCACTGATTTCTGGATTCAATCCGATTCACCTCTTCGTTTGCACGCACTGATTTCTGGATTCAATCCGTTCGTTTGCATCGTTTGCACGCACTGATTTCTGGATTCAATCCGATTCACCTCTTCGTTTGCACGCACTGATTTCTGGATTCAATCCGATTCACCTCTTCGTTTGCACGCACTGATTTCTGGATTCAATCCGATTCACCTCTTCGTTTGCACGCACTGATTTCTGGATTCAATCCGATTCGCCTCTTCGTTTGCACGCACTGATTTCTGGATTCAATCCGATTCGCCTCTTCGTTTGCACGCACTGATTTCTGGATTCAATCCGATTCGCCTCTTCGTTTGCACGCACTGATTTCTGGATTCAATCCGATTCGCCTCTTCGTTTGCACGCACTGATTTCTGGATTCAATCCGATTCACCTCTTCGTTTGCACGCACTGATTTCTGGATTGAATCCGATTCCGATTCGCCATTCGCCTCTTCGTTTGCACGCACTGATTTCTGGATTGAATCCGATTCACATCTTCGTTTCTATAAGATTTTCAATCCGATTCGCCTCTTCGTTTGCACGCACTGATTTCTGGATTGAATCCGATTCACATCTTCGTTTACAAATTCTATAAGATTTAGTTGTCTTAATTGTTTTTCTTCAGAATAGTGAGAGAACCACAACCTCCATTTAAATGAAGAAAAAGTCTCAATGTATCCAGAATTGTGCAGCTCTATTTTGCACACAAACAGTTTTTAATCGAGTCCAGTTTTTATGCAGCCGGCTGATTTTTGTTCATGGTATTCAGCAGCAATTAAATGTTTTGCAAAAGGAGACACAGAATAAATGTTTGATATCTAAATGTTTGACTTTTTTTTTTTTTTTACCACGTTGGAATCTAAACTGGGAATCGATAAGTGGAACTGGAATTGATGAAATTCAAACGATCCCCAACTCTAGTGTTTCTGTTAGTTAACTCTTTATTGAGCTGTAGTAGCGTTCAGAACAAACTCTGATAGAGTGTGTGTGTGTGAAGGTCTCGGTCTGGAGGAGTGTTCTCTGAAGGTTCCTGAGTCTCGCAGCAGTATCCTGCGGAAGCTCTTCGAGACGTCTGAGGAGTCGGGTCTGCTGGCGTTTGGTCAGGAGCTCTCCATGTACCCCAAACCTCAGCTCAGCTCCGTCAGCATCAGCTACACCAGTCGAGGTCAGATCTCACGCCTCAGGCCCTCATCTAGGGTTGGGGATCGTTTGCAAAAATATCTGCCAGCGGGGCAAGAAAAATCATCTTGTTTAGCTTTGAATTAAGATTATTTTTCTTACTCCATTGGCAGATATTTTTGCTTGTTTTAAGGAAAAACTAACAAAATTGTTCATTTTTTATAGAAGACAATATTTAATATCTTAAATCATTTCACTTGTACAGTAAATGCATCTTGATTCAAGAATGTTTAGATATTTATACTAGAAAACAAGACAGAAATACTGAGTAAGAGGATCATTTTTTGCAGTGAAGATGCTGACATGGCATTAAATAAAAAATATACTACTACTAATTATAATTGAATTTATTTAAAGAAAGAGCAATTTGTTCAGTAAATCATTGTTAAATTTTAGAGAGAAAAAAAGCAATTCGAGACCCTTTATTTATTCCATATTTGCAGAAAAAGCACTAAAACAGCAGTCAGTACTATTTTTAGAGCTTTATAACTGCAAGCTTTGTTTACGGTCACTATTGTGAGCGGTGGGATTGAATGGGTTAAGTGTCTGATTGAGGAATTGTGGTTGATGTGTTCCTCACAGTGTCGTCGGTGGAGAGCGTGGATGGCTCGGAGAGTGTCCTCCGCTCCTGGGGGAGCCACTCGTCACTCGCTGATGCCCAGCGTGTCCCGTCCTACGACAGCTTCGAGGAGGAGCTCTGCGTGGCTCCGCTGGGCCTCAGCAAACAGGGCCTGTCCTTCAAAGACTACGTCCAGGAGAGGAACGAGCCGCTGGAGCAGGGCAAACCCGTCATCCCCGCTGCCGTGCTCGCCGGATTCACCGGTGCGTCTCCTTCATTTAGCAGTGTTTGTGTAAACCAATAGCTCACGTGCACTACATATGGGTCAAACTTACAAAAAAACAGAAGCTGACGCTCAACAGTTTATCACAACAACTGTTCTGGATGCTTATCAATTTGAGACCATTTTTCCGCTGGGCATTAGGGATTCCAATAGACTTTTTTAGCTATTTTGTTATGATTGCATTATTAAAATAAGTGAAATTATGCATTGGTTTAAAATACGCATTGATATAAAAACAAATATTAATATGCAAATTTATTATTCTAACCCCTATTTCAAATGCATGATATGAATTAATATTTTGTTAATAATAACAATTCTGATCTATTCTTCTGACCCTATGTAAAGTATGCATTGGTAATAATATATATTCATATTTATTAATCACAAAAAATGATTACTCTAATCTATTTAAAATATGCATTAATAATAATAAATATTCATATTTATCAATCATACAAATTTAGATGTATTATTCTAACCCCTATTTTAAGTGTGCATGTTAATAAATATTCATATTTATGAATAATAAATTCTAATTATTTTAACCTCTATTTAAAATATGCGTTGCTATGAGTAACTATTGATATTTATTAATAATAAATATTCAGATTTATTATTTTAACTCCTGTTTAAAGTATACATTGATAGGAATAAATATTCATATTTATTAATTAAAAAATCATTTTATTATTCTAGCCTGTATTTAAAGCATGCATTGATACAAATAATACATACTCAATTTTATTAATAATAAATATGTATATTTATTATTCTAACCCCTATTTAAAACATGCGTAGGAATAATACATATCCATATTTATTATTCTAACCTGCTTAAAATATGCACATTTATTAATAATAAATATCTATTTAAAATATACATTGACGTGAATAATTATTACAAAATGTAAATGGTAAAATAGTGACATTTCCTAACTTTTTATGGCTGTATTGGTGTAAAAATCTATACATTTTTTTTTCATTCAAAACTTTCACTTACTATATCAAAAACAGTGATGTTTTGCAGCTCTAAATGCCTGGTGTTGCATTTTAGCCAATTAAAACCTGATGCAAATATATAACTAAAGTATGAATCTGAACGCTTGATGCTTAAGCTCTCTATGATTGGTGCTGAACAGGAAGTGGCCCCATTCAGCTGTGGCAGTTCCTGCTGGAGCTTCTGACCGACACGAGCTGCCAGAGCATCATCAGCTGGAGCGGAGACGGCTGGGAGTTCAAACTCACCGACCCCGACGAGGTGAGGGGCCCTCGCATCTCTTCACCTGCACCTAATGAACCACATCAGAATCTCACCATACCATAATACTGCCATACTTAAAAAAGAAAAGGACAAATATTCAAGTCAAGTCACCTTTATTTCTATAGCGCTTTTAACAATACAGATCGTGTCAAAGCACCTTTACAGTATTAATTACGTAAATAGTGTCAATAATGCAGAAGTACAACAGTAAACACTCAATTTTCAGTTAAAGGCAGTTCATTGAATTCAGTCATTGTCCGGCTCGGTCCAGTTTAAATAGTGTCTGTGCAATCACAAATGAAGAATTGGGGAAAAAATGTATATTTTGTACATTTTTAAAGTTAAATTATTCTATCTAATGCACTTGGAAAGTTCAGAATTAAGAGCTGCAACCCATGTTCTTAAGTCAGAAAAAAGTATTGTAGCTGAACTTTAAATTAGACTCAACCCTCTTTTTATTTGTGATATACTGTCTCAGTCTAAATTACATTCACACTGGTGTTTTAGGAAGCTAAACAAATTAGAACATAATAATAATAATAATAACAGCAATGACAGTAGAAGCCATTTATATTGTAAAACAACTGCACTGTAAAATAAATGAAAATGAATATTTCATAGGTATATTATTTGTGCTTTACACTACAGTAGGGAAATTACAATACAGTACTTCTATCCTAATTTCTACACTTGAGAGAGATATTGTGAATCTGGACTGCATTTAAATGCTAGCTGTCAGAAATTCATATACTGCACTTTAAGCTTTTATTTTGAAGGAAACTCCAGCTTCAGTGAAAACAGGCTTACAAAAACACGTCTCACTACAAATCTAGTGAAGCGCTGTAATCATCTGCCGTGAAAATAAAGCCTAACTGGTGGCCGTTACGTTCCCAAAAACGCGCTAAACTCACAGTACGTGTAATAAAGGAGTTGACGGCATTCATTCGGTGGGAA